TCTAGTTTTTAGTACAATTCTCATTGTTAAAGAGTGAAATGAAGTCAGTAAAATAAATGATTAAATTAAGATCTTAAAAGCGTGTTTTTTCTTAACTATCATTAATAATTTCAAACGTAATACGAAGGAGTAAATATTAATGATAGCCCTTTTACTATACATATTCTGAGTTGATGAGTAGACGCCAATCAATTGTACGAGCCGAATTCGTTGAAATGAACTATTGATAACTACACATTTTGGATAGAAAGGCATTCTAGAGCGCCTCTAATAGAAAAAATGTCATTCGATAGAGATCTCTTGATCAGATTTTATTACAGCCATTCACTGGGGGTTCACTGAATCTGCAACCTACTCAACGTGCCCCATGGCCCCATAAATTGTTTGGAAGAGGCCATTTAACTTAAATGCACCTCTGTAAAGTGGCAAAATGCCTGATAAGCAGTGCTTTTCTAAATTTAAGACAATTATTTACCAAACGTCCTCTTAGCAGGAATATGACGTTAAAGCATTTATATGGGTATTGTTATTCGGAAATCAAGGATAAGTACTCAGTCGTCTAACTTCGAAAGCTCAGCTAAGAATATACCACAATTTGAATCAATGCAGTTCACGAGATGGGAGTGGATCGACACCTTAAAATCAAAGTATTGAATCTTGCCATAAACACAAACAACTGTTCTTGTTTTTAAGCACCTTGGTTGAATAACTTAACCACTAAACACATTTAAATAGTCAAATTCATGCATTTGACTGTGATGGTTCAATTCCATTTATTAGGTTTTAGTAAATGAACAATCAATATAGTCGTCATTAATATTCAAAGGTGGGGTGTGCGATAGACTTACCTCCACGTGGTGCACCCTGGGCAACGTATACTCATACGGCAAAAAAGTCTATTAACCGGCATTTGACTTCTAACTTCAAACTACCACGACTCCCCTGGTTGTCATATTCGACCCCTTACACAGTACTCATCTTACCTTTTTCTCTACCTTTGTGTCTGTCTACCTCTTTTACATTTGTGAATCGCTCTTCTGTTCCCCACCCCTCGACTTTCTGCTACTTTGATGAACCTTCCCTCTGTGAAGCCCGAAGTCAGCTAAATGGCTAATGATATCTATCAAAACGCCTGCCATTTGAAATAAATAAATAAATATTCAAAGGTATCTTAAATCAAAAGCAGTTCTTGCAAACTATGCTGCATAATCGTGAAAGAATGGGGAAGATGGGAGTGTTGACAGCTTTAAAGG